TTCTCAGGCCCTACCCCAGAATTTCTGGTCCTGATGCTTGCTTCGGTGCGGCTAAGCTCCGAGGGGCAGGTCCTTCTCTGTGGCTTCACTTCTCGCAGCCTCCTTTCCCTCCCCAGCCCCTTCAGGCTGGAGCTGAGGGCTCCCCACTGTTGCCGGTCCCTCACCCCTGTCCCCACGTCTTTGAATAGACCCTTCACTCAGCAGTCTACGGTGAGCCCCTTCCAGGGTGCCATCTGTTTCCTGCTGGGACCCTGACTGGTCCAGATGGCCAGGATGTTAATTCATATTCCTTTAGACAGAGCATATACCCTCTAGGTTACCCTTGAGTCCATACAGGCTTCCCCAGTCATTCCTGGGTATTGAGATCTCATGAATTGGCTACCCTTGTGTTGGGGCTGGATTCCAAGTCCTATCCATTGACCACGGACCTTGAAGCAAGAGGCAAAGATGAAGATCCTTGTGCTGGATATTTCCCTTTGAGGCTATGGTGGATCTGAGTCACTTCTTACCACCAAAGTGCTTCCCATGAGTTTATTTCTCGGGTCCTCATGGGAATGAATATCCATTCTCTGGGATGGTGAGAAATTCAGACTTCACATAATGCAGGTTCCCTCCCAGCCCTGGGGTGATGTGAAGTTTTCAGGACTTTTGGGAGAACCTCTGGTCTTCTTCTGGGAGAAGGAGGTCAGAAGGGATCAGAGGTGGAGGAGCGATGGGCAAAAGGGCATCTTCAAGGGGGCACAGATGAGGCAGCTAGCAGGCAGTGTCCTTGGGTTTGAGGGGAACAGTGGAAGGCGTGGGGCCATGTCCCTGTAACTACCGTAATTACAGGGGCCTTTATCCCTGTAACTACCACTTGGCTGGACTCCTGCTTGCTGAGCCGTCCTTGCTGTGCCGTCCAGTGTTGGCGCCGAGCCCTGCGGATCCACCCCGTAATAAGCACTGCAGAAACACTAGCATTGATGATCATCCTTTTTCTGGATAGGGAAACCGAGGCACCAAAATGTTCATGTTGATGTTGCATGTCTGGTAAGTGATGGAGTCAGGCTGGAACCCAGGCAGGTCTGGCTCCACGGCCGCATGCCACCAACTCCATGGTGGTGACCCAGAGGTCAATCTTCTCTCTCCTCCCACAATGTATGTGTCTCCTCTGACCCCTGTGTGGGCGGTGACAGTGATGATGGTGATGACAGTCACCATCTCCTAAGCGTCTACTCTTTCTTCTTAAGAGAAACATTTCATTTATGCATTTGTTTGGCCGTGCCAGGTCTTAGGTGCATCAAGTGGAATCTTTTGTTGTGGCACTTAGGATCTTCTTTAGTTGCAGCATGCAAACTCTTAGTTAAAGCATGTGGGAATCTATTTTCCTGACCAGGAATCGATCCTGGGCCCCCTGCATTGGGAGCGTGGAGTCTCAGCCCCTGGGCCACCAGGGAAGTCGCTAAGCTCTTACTCCGTTCCAGGTGTCCTAAGTTGTTTGCCCATGTTGAGTCTTTATAACACCCCTACCGGTCTGTGCCTGTTCTACAGACTAGGAACTCAAGGTCCAGAAAGACTGGAGCTCACGTGACAGGAAGTGATGGAGTCAGGATTTGGGCCCAACCCTACTGATTCCAGAGCTCAGGCCTTGGCCACCCTGCTGTCCTGCCGCATAAGCACTGCTGCTTGAAGGAGTGTCCAGTGCAATAGCACCGACCGCCACTAAAATGACTTTCTATTGCTTTTCTAATGCTGAAAATAGATATTTTTATTTAAAAATATATATTTAAAATAAGATATATTTATTTAAAAAATATATAAAATAAATATGTTTATTTTTGGCTGCGCTGGGTCTTCATTAATGTGTGCTGGCTTTTCTCTAGTTGTGGCGAGTGGGGGCTTTTCTTCCGTGTGGTGTGCATGCTTCTCATTGCTGTGGCTTCTCTTGTTTTGGAGCACGGGCTCCAGGATGCATGGGCTTCAGTTGTGGCTTAATTTCCCCAAGGTATGTGGGGTCTTCCTAGGCCAGGGATTGAACCAGTGTTTGCTGCATTAGCAGGCAGATTCTTAGCCAATGGATCACCAGGAAAGCTTCAAAAATAGATGTTTTTACAGATCAGATTAGAGGGTGAATCTTACCCTAGTTGTCTGACTAGAATCACCTGGGGGCTTTGAAAACCCACTGATGTTTAGGCCTCCTGCTGACAAATTAAATCAGAATGTCTGAGGGTGGGCTTCCCAGGGCTGAGAAACACGCTGGGTGACCTTTAGGATCCTTCCTGGCTTCCCTGGTGGCTCAGTTGATAAAGACTGTCTGCAATGCAGAGTACATCATGAGAAACGCTGGGCTGGATGAAGCACAAGCTGGAATCAAGATTGCCGGAAGAAATATCAATAACCTCAGATACACANCCAATACTTTGGCCACCTGTTGGGAAGAACTGACTCATTGGAAAAGACCCTGATGCTGGGAAGCATTGAAGGCAGGAGATGAAGGGGACGACAGAGGATGAGATGGTTGGATGGCATCACTGACTCAATGGACATGAGTTTGAGCAAGCTTCGGGAGTTGGTGATGGACAGGGAGGCCTGGTGTGCTGCAGTCCATGAGGTTGCAAAGAGTTGGACATGCCTGAGTGACTCAGCTGAACTAAACTGAACTGCAATGCAGGAGACCCGATTTCGATCCCTTGGTCGGGAAGATCCCCTAGAAAGGAAAATGGCAACCCACTCCAGTATTTCTTGCCTGGGAGATCCCGTGGAGAGAGGAGTTTGGTGGGCTGCAGTCCAGGTAGTTGCAAGAGTCAAACACGACTGAGCGACTGAATCCTCGTCATCCCCAGCTTTCTGCTTCCGTGGTTCGAGGAAGGTATGCTGCCCTCGGGTGGTGGGAACAGGCCACAGCTTCATGATCTTATTGACAAGCTTCAGTGTGAACAGCTAAGTGCACTTGTCTTCAGTTTTATACCCAAACGAAATCCCTTGTTCCACATATAGACTTAATAATGATTATAAAAAACATTAACGTTTTAAGAACTACTTCTGAAAGCAATTAGCCAATATGTTAGTTTGATACCTTTCTCACAAATGGTTAGCTAACTTTTATCATGGAACTAAGGCTGTAGAACCAAAAAAAATCTCTTCTGAGTTTGGATTTTCATCATTAGACTTGTTGAAGATTGATATATTCAGGCTTTCTTATGTCATCACTATTATTTTTCCTTAAACCTCAGCTTTGCCCTGCACAGGCAGTGTGGGCCAATTTTGACCATCTCTGCTCAAACATCTTCTGTTTGGTCTAGTCCACATAGAGGAAGGATGGGTGAGAGTCATTTTATTTAGCCCCTTAGAGGATTTTCCCCATGTACACAGAGCTATGTTCTCAGAGATTTGCTTTCAGGACCCTGGTGCTCTGCAAATGGGAATAGATAGCTGGAAAAACTTTAGGGCATAGAGTTTGGAGCCTATGGACTTGGATTGAATGTGTCAGTTACTGTCTATGTGGTCTTAGGCAAGTCACTTCAGAGCCTCAGTTTGCTTGTCTCTAAAATAGGGATTCTCAGAACGACATTGCAGGCTGTTAAGGAATTAAAGAGAAAGCAAACATACTTTTACAATAAAACTACTCAACAAAGTAGGAATATAAGAGAGCTCCGCCAGTTGATAAAGAGTATCTATGAAAGGAATATCTATGCGTGCGTGCTCTGTCATGTCCAATTCTTTGTGACCTCATGGACTGTAGCCCACCAAACTCCTCTGTCCATGGAATTATATATAGTATATATACATTCTTGTATACATCACAAGTACATTACAAGAATCCACTAAAAACTACTAGAATAAATGAATTCAGCAAGATTTCAAGGCACACGGTCAGAATAAAAGTCCATAAAAATATTTTAATTTCTTTTAGAATCAAAGAAAAAGAATAATTTCGATACACTGAGTTGGGCGAAAAGTTCATTCCAGTGTTTCCAGGTATTATGGAAAACCTGAACGAACTTTTTGGCCAACCCAAAATAATGTTAATGCATTAATCTTTAACCAATGCATTTGTAAAATATAATTTCTAATTTAATTTTTTATTGAGGAAGAGACCCCAAAGGCAAAAGAGCCTAGGGTCCACAAAGTCTTAATGGGGCCCTTGCTGCTTGTATGAATTTGACGGTAAAAATTTTCCCTCTCTAGTTTTGAGAGGAAAAATACAACGTAAAGAAAGTTTAAGGTGATGCATTCAAAACCCATGCATTCTTAAAGTGTTAGGCGCTCAATTGTGTCTGATGCTTTGTGACCCATGGACTGTGGCCTGCCGGGCTTCTCTGTCCATTGAATTCTTGAGGCAAGAATAGTGGAGTAGGTTGCCATTCCCTTCTCCAGGGAATCTTTCCTGACCCAGGGATCGAACCCAGGTCTCCTGCGTTGCAAACAGATTCTTAACTGACTGAGCCACCAGGGAACCCTGGGCGGGGAGGAGGTGGGGATGGGGTGTGGACGGAGAGGCTGATGGAGGCCAGTCCTGCGTCCACGTGAAGGAATCTGGGCTTGATTTTGGGATGGTGTTTTGAGCAAGAGTGTGTGTCCATGCATGTGTGCTTGTGACATAATGTGTGGTGTGAAAATACCCCTCCAGCTGCAGTGTGGAGAGTGGATCAGACAGAGGCCCAGGGAGCCCAGTGATGGCTTCTGCCCTCGTCCTGCTGGGCCTGGATGGGGTGGAGGCCGAGGAAAGGGCCACAGGGCTTTGAGGAGGTGCAAGCGACAAGGCTGGATAATTGTGCTGGGAGGTGACAGGAGGTGGCATCACAGCGGGGGCTGTTCAGTTGAGTTTGCATCTTTGCCATCCACATTCCTCAGGGCGTTGACTTTCTGGGAATTAAGGTTAGAGAAAGAGGCTGCTCAGGTTAGACATGCTTGGGCTGCCGCTCAGTCTGGGGCTCCTGGGAGGGGGAGAGGTGAAAGCCCGAAGCTCTCACTTCCTCTCATATTCTGAAAATCTTTCTTTTCTTTTTTTCCCCCCAAAGGTGAAAAATGCCGCAGTTTCATTGACCTGGCCCCGGCTTCAGAGAAAGGTAGGTGTGGCCCAGCTCAGGTGTGACAGCCGGCGCCCTCTGGGACACTTCCCGCAGCCCTGGGAGAGCCTGTCTGTTAGCACCTTAGGGTGGTGGTGTCCCAAAGTGCCAGGATCCTGTTGCAAAGCTCTGAGTTCCTTGAGTGGTCAGAGCAGTGGGAGAGGCAGGTGGAGGGTCCTCATCTTGCCCCCTGCCACTCTCCCCACCCACAGTGGGCGTGTGGTCCTGAGAATCCTTCCGCTTCTGCTACTTGTAGAGCATGCTGGGACTTTGGGGGAGGTAGGATGGGTGTGTGGAATTTAGGGTCAGGCAAGACAGTGCTGGGGGCATTGTCTCCCAGTGTAGGATTTGTCCTTGGAAGGGAGGGAAGCCAGATGTTCTATTTCTGTCATCTCACGGGTGTGGGGAGGTCCAGCCTGATTGGACACTGTTCTTCAGACAGGAGCCATTGATGTTCAGGGCCGAATATCAGAGATTTTGAGCCCAGTGACACTCAGATAGGATGACTGGGGGTGGGCTGCAGCTTATGTAGGGGGCAGAGTAGTCAGGATTACGTTTAGTTGGAAGTAAAGTGTTAATAAGTGTTAGTCACTCAGTTGTTTCTGACTCTGACCCCATGGACTGAACCTACCAGGCTCCTCTGTCCATGAGATTCTCCAGTCAAGAATACCGGAGTGGGTAGACATTCCCTTCTCCAGGGGAATTTTCCTGACCCAGGGATTGAACCCAGGTCTCCTGCATTGCAAGCAGATTCTTAACTGTCTAAGCCACCAGGTGACCCCAAATAACTGGCTTCAGTGGAGAAATGTGTTTATAGCTTTTATAAAGGTTTGAAATCCAGGGCGGATCTGCTCCATACAGTCCTCAGGGTCCCGGCACTTGAGGGCCCTCTCCAGCATCCTTTGTCCTCGTGGTCTAAGAGGGTGGTTAGAGCTCCAGCTGTCACATCTGTACTCTAGGCAACAGGGTAGAGGAAGGGCAAGAAAGAATGGGCCAATCTTGCATGTCAACTGGGTCCCCAGAAGTTGGCCTATGACATGGGCTCACTTCCTCTTTGCCAGAACTTGATTATAGCTGCAAAGGAGTCAGGGAAATGAGATCGTAATCAGCAACCTTGGGCTCAGCTAAAAGTCAGGGGTTCTATCATTGTGCGGTGGGGGCAGGAGAATGGATACTGGAGGCTGTGCTATTACAAGAACATAGGGCATGGCTGCCTCCCCACCTGCCTCCCCCCCCACCACCAAGGAGAACCCCTGCCAAGAGTGAACAGGTGTGCAGGTCCCTTTAGACAGCCTGGAGATTAGGAGAGGGCTCTGGTCCTGGGATTTGGGATTGGGAAACAGGCAAGGGTTCAGTCCTATGCATTGGAGTCCTGTATTTGTATACATCCTATTCAAATATGGAGGGCCTTGGTAGGCACTGTTGTTGTTCAGCCACTAAGTTGTGTCTGACTCTTTTGCGACCCCATGGACTGGAGCCTGCCAGGCTCCTCTGTCCATGGGATTTCCCAGGCAAAAATATTGGAGTGGGTTGCCATTTCCTTCTCCAGGGGATCTTCCTGACCCAGGGATTCAACCCATGTCTCCTGCATTGCAGGAGGATTCTTTACCACTGAGCCGCCAAGGAAGCCCTTGGCAAGCATGGGTCAGGGAAAATTAAGTCCAGGACATGTGGCCACCCACAGCCCCTGCTGGTAGGGCTGAGTTTGGGGTTTCCTTGCAGTGTCAGGAGGTTTAAGAGCCTGGAGGGCCGGGACTCTAACCCTTCCAAGGTGTTGGCAGAGGTGGGGTAGGCAAGGGGGTGTGTGCCGTTGAAGCTGATGACATTCCTGTCTTGCACACAGTGTCCCCTTGGAGAGCTCTGGCCAGGTGACAGCTGGTGAGACTGAGGGGCCTGTGGTAGGAGGCCCGCGGTGCCCTCAGGCCCAAGACGAGGCTGGACTCCCCTGCTGAGCAAGCATGTGGCCGTGGGGAGTGCCTCCTCTGTTTCCTTTGATTCCCTCCCACACTCTGTAGCGACCCTTGTATTGCATCTTAGAAGTTAACACCTGCATGTAGCCTTGCCTGAGTTTTCGGGCTGAGCGACTCAGACTGTGCCTCTCAAACTGAGATCTCCAGAAAATACTGTGAATACAGCTGCCAATAAATGACTGATACTTGATTGATTGGATACCATGTGCTGGGCACTGGGCCATGCACTGTGAATGTATTAACTGGGAAGCCTCCCCTCAACCTTGTGAAGAAGGGGCTGACTTTCTCTCCCCACTTGACAGATGAAGAAACTGAGGCTTAGAGACATTAAGCCACTCACATCTCACATCTCATAAGGCAGGGGTCCCCACCCCCTGGGCCATGGATGGGTGCTGGTCTGTGATTAGGGACTGGGTCACAGCAGGAGGTGAGTAGCAGGTGAGTACTGTATTTATAGCTGCTCCCCATTGCTCTCATTACTGCCTGAGCTCTGCCTCCTGTCAGATCAGCATTGGTATAATAAATGTAATGCACTTGAATCATCCAGAAACATCCCTCCCCCAGACCTTTGGTCTGTAGAAAAATGGTCTTCCACGAAATCAGTCTCTGGTGCCAAAAAGGTTGGGGATCGTGTCATAAGGGGCAGAGTGCACACTCCACACCCCACCCTTGTACTGCAGGTTACCTGTAGGCAACCTCTATGATGCCCATCCCATAATCCCCAAGGCCTTGGAGTTTCTGGGTCACCTCTGCTCCAGATCTGATTCCAGGAAGCATGACCATGTGTTGTTCTTCAGTCATTCAGTCATGTCTGACTTTGCAATCCCATGGACTGCAGCACACCAGGCTTCCCTGTCCTTCACCATCTCCTGGAGCTTGCTCAAATGCATGTCCATCGAATCAGTGATGCCATTCAACCATCTCATCCTCTGTCNGGCAGCTCGGTGGCCAGTTCCCAAGCCTTCTGGCCCCTCCCAGGGGCACCTGCAGGAGTGAAGTGCCCCTAGACCCTCTGCGTGCTCCCCGAGTCCTCACCATGTTGACTGTCCATTTCACAGATGAGGAGCCTGAGCTGCAGAGAGGGAGGGATTGGTTCTGGGTCACGGTGATGTTGGAGCCCACGTGTGTTCTCTCCCTAAGCGCAGTCTTCTGCCAGACTGTGACTTCACCTGCTTCCCCTGTGACTTCCTGCCTGCTCTGCAAAATCCAATCATAATCATTAGTGTTAGGTGACACTAACAAGGACTGGCTTTCCTGCAGCACTTGCCACGTGCCAGGCACTGTTCTGAGAACTTTACACCCATTGGCTCATTTAATCCCCATTTTACAGATGAAGAGACTGAGGTCTAGAGAGTTAATTGACTTGCCCAAGGTCACATAGTTAGGACGCTGGGATTTGGACCTGAGCCATCTGGCTCTTAAATGCCTGGTTCTTCTGCTGAAAAGCTAGGCCTTTCGAGCCTGTGTGTGTTTGTGTGTGTGTGTGTGTTGAGTGTGTGTGATTGAGGCCCTTTTCAAACGGCCCCATCTTTGCCATTTTCTCCAATACTCTCCTGTCTGTCCCTCCCCTACTCTCTCCCCTGGCAAAATATGTGTCTGTCATCAGTGTTTTAACCATGGCATATTTTCGTTGGTTCTCCTGATCATTCTAGCTTTCTGCTTCATGTGGGAAATCACTTTCCATTTTAAACTAGCCTAAGCCACATCCACTTTTCATCTGGATTCCTGCCACAGTCTCTTAACAGGTTACATCTTTTTATTTTTGCCCCCTGTTGCACTGGTAGCCAGCAGGATCTTTTGAAAGCGTAAATCATCTCATGTGGTTCCCTTTAAAACCCTCTTTTGGCTCCCATCTTGCTCAAAGGAAAAGTCAGCATTCTCATCATGGCCTGTGTGGTCTAGGGGATCCGGCCCTGGACATACAGGAGCCCTTCTCCTGAGATCTCCCCCTGTCACCACATTTCAGTCTCCAATATCTTTTTTTGTTGCTGTCCAGTCGCTAAGTCAGGTCTGTCTCTTTGTGACCCCATGGACTGCAGCACGCCAGGTTTCCCTGTCCTTGACTGTCTTCTGGAGTTTGCACAAACTCATGTCCATTGAGTTGGTATTGCTCTCTAACCATCTCATTCTCTGTCGCCCTCTTCTCCTCCTGCCCTCAGTCTTTCCCAGCATTAGGGTCTTTTCCAGTGAGTCAGCTCTTCGAATCAGGTGGCCAGGGTATTGGAGTTTCAGCTTCAGCATGTGTCCCTCCAGTGAATGTTCAGGATTGTTTTCCTTTAGGATTGACCGGTTTGGTTTCCAAGGGACTCTCAAGAGTCTTCTCCAGCACCACAAAGTCCTTACTCTTTCTTGAGTCGGCCAAGTTAGTGTGTGCCCCAGGATCTTTGCACTTGTTTCCTGCTTCTGGAACACTGTTCTCTCAGTTCTTGGCACAGCTGCTTCCTTATCACTCGAATGTCGTATCTTCAGGGCCACCTTCCTTTAACATCCTTAGAGCAGCCCTTCCTCTTGCCACGTTCTTTGCCTCTCCCTTCTCTGTTTGGTTGTCTTTACATCATATATGAAATGTGTCCAGTGCTTCTTTGATTAATAGTGGTCTCCCCTGACAGACTGTCAGTTCCTTGAGGGCAGGAATTCTGTCTTATTTGTGACTCACTGTATCCTCAGGGCCCAGAGCAATGCTGGCAATATTGAATTAATCAAAATATAAACATTGATTTTTTTTTTTACTGTATACACATGTTATCAAAATTATAGCAATTCTTACATGTATAAATGAGAAATGAAAGTCTCTTATAAGCCCACCCTTAGATATTCACTGGTAATGGTTTGATTTATTAGTCCTTGAAGAAGGATAGAAGGATGAAAGATAAGTAGGTAGGTAGATAAATACACATATATGTGCACACAGACACACACACAGAGGCTTCTCTGGTGGTTCAGACAGTAAAGAATCCTCCTTCAATGCAGGAGACCCAGGTTTAATTTCTGGGTCGGGAAGATTACCCTGGAGAAGGGAATGGCTACTGA